TCAGTGTCCTAGTGAGTAGAAGGTGGTTGGAAAGTGGGACAGCTTAGTGAGTAACTACTTGCATAAAACAAGTGTTGTTGTGTTGATACTTATTGTAAATGGTAGTGAAGCTTTACATCCTCACCCCATTGTTGATAATGGTAGTGAGGCATGATCCATCACCCCATTGTTGATTAAGCTGTGAGAGCTTATTGGGTCCAAGAGCGGTTGCTGAGGACAGGGGGAGTGTGTGGATGCGCTGTGGTGTAGTAGTGTGTGTGGATGCGCTGTGAAAACTAGTGTCTATTCTGATGCATGGGTGTGTGCAGAGAATGAGACAGCTGAGTATGTAACAAGATACATACAACTAGTGGATGCTTTTATTGGCTGAGGCCAAAAACTAAGGTTTTTCCCTATTCAGAGGGTTTCCTTGTATACCTTGTGTTATGTGCTTAATTAGTGTTTAACTTGTGTTGCCTTCATTAAAGAAAAAGTTTAATTAGACCAATTCAACCCCCTCTTGGTCTAACAGCTATATGTAATCTGCTAGCTTGATTATAGGAATATTCTGATGCATAAAATCTACTAGCTTGATTATAGGATTTTGATTAGCTTAATTTCTGGTAATTAACTAAATTAATGTATTGAGTGTATGTCTTGGGTTCCTATATAAACCCACATGTACTCATATCTAAGTCATATAGAAGAATCTTCTCTTCTATTTTCTTGCTCTTATTTACAACACAAGGGAAACCTAAATAGGATCATCCTAGTCTAGCATAAATAATTTTAATCCGTTCATTAAGACAAGCATAAACCATATAGTGTAATTTACATAAATCCACAAGTTGTAATAACACATAAATGCCAACTTGGAAATAAAAGTCAAAATCAAGTAATGGGATAAATTGGAACACACCCACACTCCCGGTCACATAGCCATGCTATGCACCTAAATAAAAATAGTCGTTCTCGGATTATTAGTCCACTTGAAACGAACTGATTGGCTAATATAAAGTGGAAAAACTCATGTTTCACCCATGAGCGCCAAGCGCTCGCATTCTCAAAGTAACAACTCCCGAGTATCTCCCAAAATCAACAAACAAGTCTACAAAATATTCTATATAACATGATATGCCCAAATTGCACCTCACAAGCGCACATAAATTATATTAATCACACAATCCATGCCCAATGGTCCAAATCACTATAATGGCATAATCTTTGTTGCAATGTCAAGAAACTGTGTATTTTAAAGTCATGTGATTTCATGTTATCATTATATCAAATTTTAAGTGTTTAAAATTATGATAGATTTATATATCTTCAAAATTAACCTTCACAACATAACAAATATATAATAATTCCATGAACAACCACAACATGTGAGGCACTTTAATTACAAGTAATTGTATACACTAAGATTTAGCACTTTAACAAACATCAATAATGTCAACAATAAAATAAATAACATGTTACACAAGAAAATTAACATAAGAATTCAATAAAACATTATGGACATACAATTAAGTCATTATATAAGCTCTCTAATCCAACCCACACACACAAGTGTATGCATAACTCACACAATGGTCATAAAATTCCAAGAACTCCCAGGTTATAAGCATAATACACCCCTACCTCAAATTAGGAGCAAACCTTAGCTACTCCAAAGGAAAAATGTGCTCCAAATCCGAAATTGATTGAGGGGTTTTGTTCTTCTCATAGTCCCCGTCAAGTTTCCTTCTATGACAAGCTCAAAATCTCAAAGGTTGGAGGTCAAATGGTTGAAGTAAAATGAAAAAGAAAAGAATGGGAGAGAGAAGAGAGAGTGTCGGTGGAGTGGAAGAAATGAAAGGATTTTAGCCTATCTTACACTTTCTCTCTCTATACGCCAACTCTTCAACCAAAAAGTTGGGCCAAACCACAAACCATGCATGTATTTTGAAAGTGCTGCATGAAATTACATCCATTAAGTTCATAAAATTAAAATAATAAATTTAAATAAAAAGAAGAGAAATAAAAAGAATAAGAAGAGAAAAGAAAGTTATCTACTACACACATTATATATAAGTAGTGCAAAAAGAAGAATTTTAAGAAGTAGAAAAAAAAAAAAAAAAAAAAATTAAGAATGAAAAATGAGAGAACTTTGAAAAGAAAAAAATAGAGTTTGATTGAAGAAGGCAAATTCAAGAAATTAAAGGGATTTGAAGAGTAGAAGAGAAAGAAAGAAAAAGTTAAGAGATACTTTTAGAAATTAAAAATTTTAGGGGTCATTATTTTAAAAAATTCATATATATGTCAAAAATAAATAAAAAATCATACAAATTATAGCTAGGCCAGGCAGGGGCACATTCTCCCTGGGCCTACTTTGGCTAAGCTCATAATGTTGACCCGAACAGGTTTAGAGAGATTTTCCTTGGAGAATGGAAGTATAAAGTTTATTCAGCTCAAGACCTAGTTCATCAACGTCTCTCTCTCTCTCTCTCTCTCTCTCTTATCCTTTCTCCTTAAAATCATAACTGTTGGCAATCCAACCCTACTTATCTTCATTTTTAAAATTTTCTCCTAAATTTTTTTTGTTAGGGGTTTTCAATTTGATTTTGTTATAAGCAACATTGGAAGCCAAGTGAGTTCTCCAAAATTTATGAGTTTTTTTTTTTTTTTTTTTTTTGGTAATTTTCATGGGTTTGGGGAATTGGGGTTGCTATCAGCTTGTTCTGGTTCAGTGACTCATGCTTTGGTTAAAAAAAAATAAAAAAATTCTCTTGTAATTTTCATGGGTTTAGCATTGTTGACTTGTGCGTAGCGTTTTGGTTTATGTTATGGGCAGCCATTGACCTAGCATAGGACTAGTGGAAACTTTTTTATTTGTATTATTACTCATGTATTTTGTAAAAATTTAAGAAATGCCCCCACTTAATTTTTTAAAATACTCCATTATATATACTTTTGTCCTCATTGATTTTTTTAGATTTAAAAGGGAGTAATAGCAGGGAGGATGAAGTTCATCCTCCTACTGACGTGGCCACCTTTGAGAATGACACCTGTCCCAAATTAAAAAACTACATTTAGATGGGCAAGACCCATTTTTGGGTGTTAAACCCGTTTTCATTATCAGTCAAATGCTTCACCGTTGCAAAGATCCTCCTCCGATCAAACGAGTCTTTGACGGTGGCCGCCTCTATTTTCGCCGAGCGTCACACCTTCAGCTCCCCATCCTCCCGAGGAATCTGAATCTGTTACTATGGAGTACTGATTTTCTTGACTCCTTTGTTTACTTTGTTTTTTTGATTCATTTAGATATATATATATATATATATATATATATAGTTATTTAGATGATTTTTGATGGAGCGATGGAATATCCGTTTCTGAGTTAAGGTGTGAATGCTTTGTGCCATATAAATGAATATGAGCAAAAAACGATAATGAAGGTAGACATGCCTGGGATCGGGAAAGAGGGACTGGAGAGGGACTGGAGATTAAGATTAAAAAAAAAAAAATGTCATCCAAATAAAAGGGAAGGCAGAGGAAGAAATTGAAGATGCGGAGGAGGATGTGGTGGAGAGGATCTACACTGGCCTTTTTATTTTTTTGGTATCAATTTTTTTTTACATCTTTTTCATCCACAAGCCTGCTTGTACATAACCAGATCTTCCTTTGGACGAAAAGAGCAATTCTGACAAGTATTTTCACTCTAAAATTGCCAGCTTCACTGATCAAAAACCTTCAACAACAAAATAAATCGAGAATTAACCAGATATTTCAGACCAAATGTGCAACTCTTGAATCACCAAATACAGGTACACCACTATCTCCAAAAATTGTCATGGCCGTGGTCACCACCGTCGTGCGCCACTAACCGTCGCCATGAACCTGCCGTCGCCGTGAACCACCTCACTGCCGTGATTAAACCTGAACCTCGCCGCCGTAATTAAACCTGAACCTCGTCGCGAACCAACGTCCGAGTTACAGCGATAGGGCACCGAATGTACTCGCACCAACAACAGGGGCGCGTCATGTTCACGCGTCACCCTCAGTATCACGCACGCGTCGCCCTCTGCCGCTACTCTCTGCTATTCTCACCCTCAGCTCCGCTGCGACTGTTCACACCACTCCAGAACCCTATTCCTCTTCCAAGAAAACCTCTTCTTTGACGGCGCCGCCTCCGAGCTCTCCTCCACACTGCCAACTCGCTCACAGATCCAAGATCCTCCAAGAACCATCCTTCGCTGTCCTCATCTCTGCCGGACTCTTGCATCGCCGTTTCTCTCCACCATTCTCATGAACAGGAAATATATACAGAGAAAGAGAGAGAGTAGATACGTGTGAGATTTGAGGGAAACGGGTTTAACCCTCAAAAATGGGTCTTGCCCATCTTAATGCAGTTTTTTTGTTTTGGACAGGTGTCATTCTTAGAGGTGGCCATGTCATCAGGAACGATGAAGTTCATCCTCTGCACAGGATGCAAGTATTACTCTTTAAAAGATACTAAAAGAATCTGATTTTCTCTCTCGTGAAGTAATTAGGTTATTCTGAACCTTATTTTATTTATAAAAAAATTATCTTTAAATTCGTTTCCTTCAATAGTGGCCCCCTCAACAAAATTCCTAGGTCCATCACTAGTTATGGAGCTGCTAGAGTTGGCTGGCTTTTGTAGGACATGCCTCGTTAACAATGATGTATTTGGCTTTTCTTTCTTTCTTCCTTTTTTAAGTATGTATTAGAAATAGGAGAAGGAAAACAAAGAGAAAACTTCTCTAAGGTTAGAAATCTCATATATGCTATTATTTATAATCCTATTAATGTACAGGTTCCATATAATAAAAATAGTTCGATGGAATTGAGATTGAAACACGTCATTAACATTTTTTTGGGTCCTATTGTCATCATTCTAAACCATATGTGGAGAGACTCATCCCATCTTGCAACAACCTTTAATTCATTGATACAGAGGCAAAGATCAGAAATCTTAGGAGATGAGAAAATATTGAAACACAAGTAGGAAGTCAAAATTACTAAAAGTCAAACAGTTGTCCTAATGTTATCATGTGGAACATCTCTGGTGAAGGCCACTTTTGAGCTGATAACTGTTGAGAAGCTTGTCGCATGGTTGGCCGAGATTGTGGACTGGATAACAGGCATGCAAGAGCTAGCTTCATCATAAAGACCACATCCTCTGCGACTTCATTCATGGGCTGTGAGAGACGTTGGTCTAACACATCTTTCAGCAGTGTATGACGGGCAGTTGATGATGTCAAAGTTGATAAAAATGTGACGAAAACTCCTGGATGGCCTCCAAGAAGTGCTTCCATTATCACCATTCCAAAGCTATATACATCACATTTTTCATTGACTTCCATTGTATAAGCAAGCTCTGCAAAATATATGTATCCAATCATGCTAAATATTGTCCAGAAAAAGAAGCTAAACTCAGTAGTAGAAAATAGGTTTTTAAAGCTTTTTTCGAAGGCAAATTACCTGGAGCAGTGTATCCTATGGTACCTGCAAATGAGGTCCAATTGGATGAGCCTGGCTTCAAAATTTTAGCTGTGCCAAAGTCCGAGAGGATTGCCTCCTCCTTTGAATCTAACAAAACATTCTTGCTGGATATGTCTCGATGAATTATTGGTGTTGAGCAGTCATGGTGCATGTAGGATAAAGCATTGGCCAAACCTTTAATAACATTTACCCTCTTACTCCATCCAAACTTCATTGCTGCTTGATCGTCGTTAAGTATACTTTCCAAGCTTCCCCTTTCCATGAACTCATAAACCAAGAAGGCATGTCGTGGATGCCAACAGAAACCATGGAGCCTCACAATGTTGTGATGTCGTATCTCTGTTAGTGCTTGAATCTCACTTAAAAAAGCTTTCAGACCGGCCGTGCTGTCATCCTCTATTGCATGAAGTTTCTTCACAGCAACAACTTGACCGCCAGGCAGATCAGCTCTATAAACACTTCCAAATCCACCCTCTCCAATGCAATATTTGGAGTTGAAGTTCTCTGTTGCTTCAATGATGTTCCCATATACCAGTTGTCCATCATAGCTCAATACTGCAAACAAATTAACATTTTGGGCATCCTCTGGCTTGATTTTTCCTTTGTTCCTCACTCTCAGCCAAATGAAACATAATACACCCGCAATGATAAAGAGAACAAACAAACTGCCTAAAGAAGAGACCGCTATCAAGATTAAGCGACCCTTCTTACCTTCTGCCTTGTGGATCTTCCTAGAGGGGCAGGACATCAAACCGGTGATGTTACCACACAAGCCTTTATTATCTGTAAATGCTTCTGTTGAAGCATCACGAAAGGCTTTGTTGTTAGGAACAGGGCCCTCCAACTGATTGTAGGACATATCAACAGATGTCAGGGTTAACATTTGGCTGAAAGTGTATGGGATGGAACCAGAGAGCTCATTGTGGGAAAGACGCAATACTTCTAAGTGGCGCATTGTTCCGAGCTCTGGTGGTATTTCTCCCACAAGTGAATTCTGACTAAGATCAAGATCGTGAAGAGAAAGCAAACCACTGATCTCTAAAGGAACACTTCCCTCAAATCTATTATTGCTCAATTTCAAGGTCAGTAATTTAACACAATTTCCTATTTCTTTGGGGACAGGACCACTCAGATTATTTGCAGCCAAGTTAAGATGTCTCAAATTAGATAGCATCCCAATTTCTGATGGAACATTGCCTGAAAATTTGTTATCGCTCAAAATTAGGTTGAATAATAAAGTCAGCCTACCAATTTCCCTGGGAATCTCTCCTACTAGATGATTGGAAGAGAGGTCAAGTGCCTGAATTGATTCCCCAAAGTTTGCTGGTATTCTACCAGAAATATTATTGTGGGATATTTTCAGGCTTTTTAAGCTTTGACACTTCCCCCAATCAGGAGTAAGTTCTCCATACAATTTATTATAACTCAAATCAATGTAGTCCAAATTAGGATATATGCCAAAGTCTTCTGATATATTTCCAGTTAGATGGTTTCTTTCAAACCTCACTCTAAGCAGGCTAGTGCAGTTTTTCAGGGTTCTTGGGACAGGACCCACAAAATTGTTGTTATAGATGGTGAAGTTTTCAAGTACCCCCGAGAGGCATATATTTTGTGGCAGATACCCAGACAACATGTTGTCACCTAGATGCAATGTATGCAACCATGTAAGGTTAATAATTTCTTGTGGTATTGAGCCAGTTAATTTGTTGCTGAACAAACTTAGAAGAGAGAGCGATTTCAGCTTTCCTATTTCAGCAGGAATGAAGCCAGATAACTGATTTTCTTGGAGGTGCAATTGGGTGAGCTTTGTCAGGTTTCCTATACTGGAAGGAATTGGTCCAGAAAGTAAAGTATAACAGAGGTGTAGAGCGGTTAAGTTTCCCAAGTTTCCAATGGAAGCAGGGATTGCACCTCTAAGGTAGTTTCTGAACAACGAGAGGTCAGTAAGCGAGCTCAAATTTCCTATTTCTTGTGGTATAGAACCACTGATGAGGTTTCTGGAGAGGTAAAAGATTCTTAAACTTGGTAGTTGGCCTATTTCCGATGGAATTCCCCCAGTGATTTTATTTATAGAAAGACGAAGAAAAAGGAGTTTTGAGAGGTTTCCAATATGTGATGGAATGGTCCCATAGAGTGAATTATTGAAAAGGTCAAGACTATGTAAGTTGGCAAAGGATGAGAAGTTGAGACTATGGAGGGTACCTCTCACACCATAACTTGAAAGGTTTAAACTTGTGATGCTTCTTGACTCGTCACAATTGATTCCGGCCCATTTGCAAGGGCTGCCTCCAACCCAAGAAGACAGGAGAGACTGGCTTTCATTGTCAAGGCTAGCTTTCCATGTTAGAAGAGCCTTTGCTTCCTTTTCTCCCTCAGTTCTCTTTGCAGCACCCATAGAATTAGTTGCAGAAGAAGCAACATGAGACGAAGAAGAAGAAGAAGAAACCAACGTAAGGACAAAGATAAACAAGAATAAAACAAATAGGTTAGAGAGTGCTTTTTCTAATAAGCTTATCATGGCTTTGCTTTAGATGATATTGGCCTCTTTAGTGGCAGTAAATATTATGGTTGGGTGGGGATCCTTTAAAAGCTTGAAGGGTATATATAGACGGTACTGGCCGGCATACAATTACATGGGAATAGACAACTAATACAAGGTGTGTGAAAATGAAGACAGACTACAATACTCTTGCTTACGAATATTCATTTCTCATACTTGACTTTTGGGCGTCGTGGTTAGACTTTATCAATAACAACCATTAGTGACAGAGCAAGGACATTGTTGGACAACAGTTAGAGAATAAAAAAATCAAACTACCATGATAAATAAAAAATTTGTAACATTAGTTGATAGTTTTATTGAGTACAATGCAACTTGACTGAAAAATTTTGAACCATAATAAACAAAGAAATGAATTTTATTATTATCAAATTTATAATACATATATACATACACACAGAGAGAAATGTGTGTGTGAGAGAGAGAGAGAGAAAGGCAATGGATGGGGACAGAGAGCAACAAAATGAGGGAGTTAGAGATATTCGATTATTTAGAGCCCAAAAATTCAATGGGAACAAATATATATAGTGAGATTTTGTCATAATTTAGTGGAGGTACTTTTAGGATTTTAAGAAAATTATAGGTATGTAAATTTTTAATTATAAATAATAAACTTTCAGTAGGGGGTGGCGGCACTATATATGTGACAATCCTGACTTTTAAGATTATATTTATATTTTTAGTTTTCGTAATTAATTTGATTAATTATGATTGGAGGCTTATTTTTTTTATTAGAGACTTTTATTTTATTTAAATTTTGTTACATATAGGAGAAATGGATTTTTGATTTATTAAGCATTTGTGTGTATATATATATATATATATATATATATATATATTATGTATTAGTTGGGATGCGAATCACCTGCTGTGAGATTTCTATGCAGTTCCTGTAGTCTACTGTCTTGTGGCGTTTGTTTAGCCACGTATTTCTTCATAAAACAGACACTAAGTCCGTGTTTGGCAATTACATCACTATTTATAAGTATCATTTCATCACCATTTATAAGTAACATCACATAATCTAAAAAGTAATATGTAATGACCCAAATCCTCATGGATCCGGATCATTAAACGGGTCCTTACCCGACCTGGAATTGTCCAAGGGTAATACGGTCCTTTCACGTTAAATTCAATTATCATGGTCCAAAAAGGGCAAGATGGTAATTTGCTATAAATCAATAATTTGAGACTCGAGGGCATAATCGTCATTTACTTGTGTCATGCAATAAATAAAATAAGGCCCAGGACAATATTGTCTTTTCGGTGGTTAAAATATATTTATTGCACTTTGATTGGGCCATAAGGTAATTACTCATATAACAATTGGGTGCCAAAGTGTAATTAGAAAAATTAAAAGAAGAATGTTTATGGGACAAGAACCATACCCAACCCATCTATTACAATTAAATTATTTGGATACCCAATTTAAATTAATGAGTAATTAAGGAATAAAAAACATTTTGAATTCATTAAGTTTAAAACAATTATTAATTTTTCAATTCAAACCGGTCGACATATATGCATTATACGTCACCTGGTTTGGGTTATGAACAGTGAAAAATCCCACTGCCGAGATACCGGTCGATGTGTGGGAAGTTACACGTCGACTGGTTTGGAACGTGTACAACGTCGACTGGTTCATGCAACTCGGTCGACGTATGGAGTTTTACGTCAACTGGTTTGGGTTATCCTCACTCACTATCACTGAGATACACCAACTTTGAAAGCCAATCACCCACACCACTACATTCACGTACATACATAAATACATTTCAACATCCACAATAACAATAACTACAACGTTAACAAAATTTACCACACGTTACCAAAATACACTAAGGATTAAATGTTGGTACAACTCAATTACATTACCCCACTGGCCATGCACATGCTAAAATCCAAATATTTTACATATTGAAAAAGTAATACATCCTAAGTCAACATCTTTACAAAATAAGTTCAAGCTCTACAAAAATACATCCAAAATGCTTCCTAAATGCTCTCAAGTGTGAGGTGGATTGTCATCCGCCAATTCCTTTCCAAGACCTAAAAAAATTGTTAAGTATGTAGGGTGAGCAATTTTCTCAGCAGGTGATACTTAAGACATGTCTCTTGTGTCCCCGTGAATCCAAACATAGAATAGAGCAATGGAAATGGGGCTCATACTAAGCCGGGTTAATACAACATAACAACCAATCTCAACCTAATCAATATGATGCAATGGAATGCAATGCATGCCGATGTCACTCCCTATTTTCTCATTCAAAATCAATCACTTTCAAACTGTTAATGTAACCCCCTTTGGTACCTCCTCAACGCCGAGAGAAGGATTGGCTACTGTCCCTGACCGTTGGTACCTCTGCAGCGTCATTATAGGACCAGATAGCTCAACCACGCTAGGGCAGTCTCCCTACTTCCCTCTAGGTTACATTAACCTACCGACCCTCTAGTGACTCCGAGGCAACCGGGTTTTCATAAAACCATTTCATCAAAACACTTTCCCAAAAATTTCCCTTTTTCGTATCAAAACAATTCTTCTTCTTTTTCGTATCAAAACAATTCTTCCCTTTTTCATGCCCAATATCAATGCATGAATGTATCAATATCATGTCTATGCGCATCATTCTACAATCACTCAAAATTTAATTGGCAAAGCATAATTCATAAGAATTTTTAATGAACTACAACATGTTTTCATACAATGAAATCTAGCATGATAGGCATATCAAGAATCAACACATAGATATGTTCTTCACATAGATCTTTAATACCACAATTACTCAATTAGCAAATATACACCTCAACTAAGCAATTGGCTTGATTCTATATAATTTAAGCATCTTAAAAACATAATAGACATAGGAACTCAACATATAAGCATGATTTTCATACAACCTATTTAATACACATCCTCTTATGTTCACATATCTCAATCAAGTCATTTTAAACTAAATCAACACAATTAAGCATTTTAAGACACAATTCAAGTAGATTAACTCACTAAAGCACAAGACTTCATGGATTAAGGACTCCTACCTCTTAATTGTGCAAAACCCTCAAAGTGGGTCAAGAATTTTGAAATTCCTAGGGAGGCTCAAAGTTGGAATCGCTCGTACACACGCGTAGAGCTCGCCGTGCTCTCCGTTTTGCCGCAAACGGCACTCAAAAATTCCAAATATTGAAGGAGTAATCTTGATTCAAAGTTTGTTGCAAAACAAAATGAAATAAAGAAGAAAAGAGAGGAAGAATAGAGAGCTACGGGAGAGTGAGAGATAAGAGACCAAAAAAAAAAAAAAATGTGGTCTCTAGCCTACAAATATGATAGTGGTGGGTCCCACCGTTATCTTTTTCTTTTCCCTTTTTCTTTTATTTTATAATCCACACCACACAAATATATGCAATGCACCATTATAGGGATGCTACATAATTCACATAAAATAAAAAGTATGAAATGCAATTAAACCCAACTAAAATCCCGTACGCAAAACGTGAAAAGACGAAAATACCTTTGCGGCGACAAAATCCTGAAAAAAAAATAAAAAATGCTAAAAATCAGAAACATCACATAATATCACAGGAGTCTAAAAGTAACATCACCATTTATGTGCATACCTTAATTTAAGGGTGAAGATACACCATTTATAAGTAACATCACATGATCTAAAAAGTAACATCACATGAGTGTAAAAGTAACATCACCATTTATGTGTATACCTTAATTTAAGGGTGAAGATATACCACCATTTATAAGTAAAATCACAGGATCTAAAAAGTAATATCACAGGAGTCTAAAAGTAACATCACCATTTATGTACATACCTTAATTTAAGGGTGAAGATACTTATAAATGGTGGTATAATTGCCAAACACAATATGTTGAATTGAGTTAAGTTTGTATGTGACATTACTTAGTCTGTATTATGTGCATAACTTATTTTATGTGTGAAGATACTTATAATTGATGGTGAAGAATGATCCAAACATTGCCTCAATTCCACTCAAACGCTGCCTTAAGAGCTATTAAATGATCAACGATGTGGCAAAATGTAGGCCACTTAAAACTCACAACAAGAACTGCATAGGAATCTCACAGTAGGTGATTCGCGCCCGTATCAATTGAAAGAAGAAGATAGCATATGGCTGCCGAAATGATAAGAGATGAAGAAATAAAGAATATTGTAATGGTGAAGTGGAAGTGGGCGGGTCCCACTTGAATGGTTTAATGAGTTTTAATTTAATATATATATATATATATATATAGGCTATATTTGGTACGGTGGGTTTGAAGGAAGAGGATAACATTAGTTATGAGGGAAAGGAAAGGAAAGGAAAGGAAAGGGAAGGATAATTTTAACCCCCTATCGTGTTTGGTTGATTAGTGAAGGAAAAGAAAGGAAAGGATAATGAACATGTTTGGGAAAAGAAATGAAAGAAAAGTATTTTAGTAAATTTACTATTATACCCTTTTATATTTTAAAGGATAAATATATAAATTTAATTATGTAATATAAAAATATATATATTCTTAGGGCAAATCATTTTAGCCTCCCCAATCGCTCCATCTCTATTCTCATTCTCAACTGTGAACTTGCCCTCCCCCCCCCCCCCCCACACACACACGCTCTCTCTCTCTCTCTATCTGCAACTACAAACTACAAAATCTACAAAAATCAGATCAGCATATCATTCCAGATTGTTCAAAAAATCAAAACCAATATCTTTCAGTTATTATATCTGTCTGCAAGAATCAAAAGTTCAAAACCCATATCGGCATATCATTTCAGATTGTTCAAAAAATCAAAACCCATATCTTTCAGTTTCCATCGCCGTTCATCGTTCGCCGTTCTAATTTGTGTTCGCCATTCGCCGTTCGCAA